TGGAAAGAAAATATTAAATACTTATATGGATCCAGTACAGCAGAAATACAATAACATAAATCAGCAATTAAGTTCATTATTAATCTAAAGCATTGATATACATGTTATGAAAAATTATAAGACATGATATTATTAGTATATAGAAATCTTCCTTGCCATGAGAAATTAAAATAAAAACTAAGTTGTAGAAATGGAGAGCATCATATATTTTCAGATCCACCATATCTGTTGTAGCTTTGGTAATAATTAGCTAATTGAAGACATTTGGAAGAAAATCTAGTAGATGTTAGACTACACTTTTTGGACACTCGGGTATTTAGTAAATTTCACAAATATACTATATTTAGCAAATTTCGAAGCATATTAAGCTAAAATGCTACTAAAAAGGAAGTTTATGAATCTAGAAGGGTGAATGATATATTTTCTGTTGCCTATTGATGCCCTGAATCCAACGCAGCCTCAAAAGGGATTTTATATCTAAATTTTAGCTAGTTAAAAATAGAAAGTTACACTCTAGGAGGGTAAGTCATATGTTTTCTGATGTATTGTGATGAAAAAATAAGTTGGTGATAAAGTTACTTAAAATTATGAAGAATCTTTTAAACCCTTGTGAAGCGAATGGGAAAATATAACTTCGAATAAAAAATTATTTCAACACCTACAAGCATTTTGCTACTTACTTAAGATATTTAAGTTTAAATTTTTATGGAAAGAGTGCCAGCTGATTTCTGCGTAGTTTGTAATACAAGTTTTTATTGTATATGTATAATAGTTTTTTTTACAAACTCGTGGGTTGCTGTTTAATCGGCTCTTCAAGATAATGATGAGTAGGATAAGAAAATAGAAGCATATAAAATTGTAATGGAACCTTATTAATCAATCCGTCGGATGCAAATGAAAACTTTCGATCGCTTTGGTTATCCTAAGCTTGATTAACGTAAATCCTTTGATATCACATCTTATTTGGTAGACTTGGTTTGGTTTGTTACAATTACTAAAAAATATTTCTACCAATATGTCGGCAACAAAGAGTCTTGGCACGTAATGGGCACTTTGTTTAGTCACTTGTTTCATCGAACTGCTTGAATTCATTTTTGCTGTTGATCGGTTTGAGAAGTTGTCAAGCTATAAATTGTTGATTCGGGAGAGTTGAATATTTGGGAAAGTTAATTATAAATTTCTGATTTCTGCCGTAGAGAGCGCTGCGATCGGAATTTTTTGAAATCAACTGAAATGCACCAAGCCTATAGGTTATAACTCTTCATACATGTGGATTTTCCTGTTGTAGGGGGACAGGGTATTTCCCATCCTCCTCTGAAAACATATTAGTTTAAAAGAACCGGCCTTGAAGCTGAAGAAAATAACTCAAACACTCCGATATTTAATCTTATGAGACGATTGACAAGTCGTGCGAAAAGCGCTTCGCACGGCATTATTATATTTTTCTTTTGACGAAAAACGTTCTCCCTATCATCTCCATTTTCTCGTCATTTTGCACGACGCCTTATTGAAATGTCGACTGAAAATAATTTTCTTAGTGGGAAAAATGTCGATAAGATGTAATGCCGAACAAAGATTGGCGGAATTTGAGGGATAAAAATAAAAACAAATAACAATAGCAAACTGTGCTTCCTTGTAATTATCAAAAATTAAAACGACGAAAAAGATTATAAAGTTAAATAGTTTTCTTTTTAAATCAAGCTTCAATTAAAGCTACTTTGAAGGGGCGTTTGCTAGTAAAACTATCGGTCTTGGCAGTTTTGTATTTCATTTTGTTAAAAAATGTCGATACTACGCCATGGCGAATAAAGCCTGACGGAATTTGAGGGATGGAAAGAACAAATAACAATAGCGTGCTGAGCTTGCTTGTAATTATGAAAAACCAAAAAGACGAAAAAATAGTGCAAATGAAAAACTTTCCGATTAAAAAATCTTTAAATCATGTGTCAATTAAAGCTACTTTGATTGTGTGCCATTTACTAGAAAAACTCGCGGTTTTGATAGTTTTGTATTTTCTTTTATTATTTTTTACAAACCCCTTTTATGGATTTTGATGTTTTAACAAGATTGCTCTGTTTTAATTCAGTTTGATCCGAACGAAAATGTATCGCTCAATATTGCATGCATTGCAAACAAGTATCGTATGATAAAAAAACGCCGTCCAGCTGGCTTGGAATTGAACATCTATGACATTTCCATGACCATGGTGTTGGTAAAAAGTAGACCTGGAAATATAAAATGCGGTTCATAATGACAGTATACTCGAAATACCAACTATGTGGTACCAAATTATTCGTAAAAAAATGTTTTTCCGAATATGCTAATGAGCCACCCTCGTTCCATTTGAAAGAATTGAGATATCATTAAAAATACGATTTGGGCATCTTTTAACCAGCCAGGACAAGACACGAAAAACATTAGACGATTAAATCTATATTGCCCAATTTGGGTTCTATTTCACTTTGTTACTACCAGAGAATCGGTTGAAATACACCATGCACCATACTAACAGAAGTAAAAATGCCTCAAAACATGAGGCAGTTTTTAAATTTCTCAAGAGAAGTTTAAGTTCTTATCGCCATTAAGTTTTATTTTGAACCAGTCAAGTGAATGGATAAAAATTATAAGTGGATAGTAAATCATCTCGACATTTTATTGAAATATCGAGTGAAAATAATTTTCTAGTGGAAAAAATGCCGATGCTACGTAAATTCGAATAAAGACTAACGGAATTTGAGAGATGAAAAAACAAATAATAACAATAACCTGCTGCACTTGCTTTTAATTATGGAAAATCCAAACGATGAAAAAATGGTGAAATGGTGCGCTTGCTTTCAATTACGGCTAATGCGGCTGGTTGTGATTTGCTAGTAAATTAGCATTTTGGTATGTAGTATTTTTATTTTCTTTTGTCTTTTTAGAACTGGAGATGTCACTAACCAGGCGGATTAAATAACTCAAGAGAAGTTTAGAAATAAGGTTGGTGTGGCGCTTTATTATAAATTAGGGATTTTCAAAAAGTGTATAGGAAAAAGCGTCTCTCGTAGAAGATATTTCCTAGTACCCCTATTATTTTGTGATCTTTTGTCATTTTTTAATAACAGCATTTATAAATATAAAAATATTTATAAATATTACACGGTTCAGAGGGATCACTGAATGATTTTTTAAAAGAAATGCAATGCATGGTACTATTTTCTCTTTGGTGTTTTGCAAAAACAGTTGAATTCATTTTTATTTTATCACTGTGAGTATATCTTCTACTGCGCCTTGCGTAACCATCTTCTGATGCGTGTCAAATACTCGTCAGCGAGTAATGGCAGTATGTATGCATCTTCTACTGATATTTTCAAGAATTAAAACTTCATTAACATAATATTATAAGGAAACCATTAGAGATGCATCTATAGATGTAATAGTCTAAGAGCTAGCAACGTTTTCGAGAAAGTATTTTAAGATGTCTGCCTCTTTGATATATCTTTTACTATGCTCTCTGGAACATCATGCGACCCGTCTGGCTGCCGATATCCGTTGCGTTCACTACTGCGCATCGAAAGAAGATCCTATATATTTTTTTAATTTAGTCCTATGCATTCTAGTATTGAATATAAATCGAACATGTCTCCATAGCTCAGTGCGTAGAGTTTCTGCCTATTAAGCGAGGAGCCAGTGTTCGAATCCGGATCAGTGCAAAAACTTTTTTATTTTATTTTCGTTTATATTCTGATAGTAAAGTATTAAATAATTCTGGTGATTAAAAAAAAACAAATATTTAATACTTTACTATCAGAATATAAACGAAAATAAAATTAAAAAAATTTGCACTGATCCGGATTCGAACTCTGACTCCTCGCGTGAAAGGCAGAAACTCTACGCGCTGAGCTATGGAGACTCGGTCGGTTTATATTTAATACTAGAATTTAAAGGACTAATAAAAATATAGGATCTTCTTTCAATGCGCAGTAGGGAACACAACGTTTACCGGCAGCCAGACGGGCCGCATGCTGTTCTAGAGAGCATAGTAAAAGATATATCAAAGAGCCAGACGTCTTAAAATACTTGTTTTTCCGACGTTGCTAGCTCTCGTACTATAATATATAGCAGTCGCTACACCAAATAACCCAAATTTTAGTAAACAAAAAAAATTGTGTTTGCACAATATGCGCATATTTGAAGTGAAACTAACAGCTAAAAAAACTAACAGCTTAAACTTTAACAGCTCTTGCTAACAGCTATTAAAATGGAGGATTTAAAGGACATATTTGAAAATGTATAGTTTGAAATGTTGAAAAAGAAATAATTCAACAATCTATAAATAATTTTAAAATGAAATTAATAATTTCATAAAATTGGTATTAAAGTAACCTTCTGTCCATTTGTCCGTTCGTCTGTCCGTTTGTCCGTCTGTCTGTCTGTATTGTATAGTACTTATGTATAGTCTATAGTATCAAATTAATAATAAAGGTTAGTGTGCAAAATCGGTTATCACTTTGTTTTCCCCTGTATATTAAATGGAAGGAACTATATAGGGATGTCCAATACCTATATCTACTTGCCGAGTTTGGTTCCAATGGAGCAATAATTAAAGAAAATCCTGATGATTTCGTCCATTTAGATACATCGGTTCGATACGTCGCATCGAGGGCTTCATCCTGTAGCAAGTCCCCAATTATGCCAAAATCGACCCATATTTTTCTTCAATATCAAATCCTTAGTTCCACTCATGGATGTATACCATCGTGTGTACACCATCGCGTCGTTCACATAGACTACCCACCAAATTTAGTCGGACGACATAAACTTCACGTTTCTTACGTCAAAACTAACTGGTATAGTGACATGTGTCGTATACAGTCAAGTTGACCTAAATCCAATCTATCGAGATACCAAATTTTGTTGTGTTTCTGGGAACGAAATATACTACCCTTAAAAATATTTGCACTTATTTAAGACTCACCCTGTATAATGGTAATTTACAGTACATATAATGTTTGTTTTGTTTCAGATTAAAATACCTGCGCAAAATCAATCAGCACGATATTGGTTAACGTACAGAAATGTATTTGACTATCAAAACTTAAATTAAAAAATCAAGGTAAGTAAGAAAAAACAGCCATTTTCCATTATCTTACTAAAATATCGCTAATACTTCTAAAAATAAGGTTAAACGGTCATGTAGCATAGCAGAAATGTTTGTGAGATATCAACCAAATAAGTTGTTAATTTTCAAAGTAATTATAACTTTCCTAATTAACTAGTTAACGAACAGATCGCTATACCCTGTTTGAAGGCACGTATTTGTTTAGTAGTTAAAATTAGGGATAAACCAATTCTTTCAAGATTAGTTAACGGACAACATCTTAAAATAAACTGAAAATTATGTTTGACCGTGAATATATTTCAAAAAAGTTAAATTTAGGTATAGAAAATTGATAAGCGAGAGAGGTCTTGGTCTTGCACTAAGCAAAAAAAAACGATAGCTAAGTAAAAGCTAGCATGGAAGAGACTGCGGTCTTTCATTTTTTATTTACATTTCATTTTTATAGATAATAAAAATATAAATTATAGGTAAATAGGTATTATTATAGGTATCGATATTCACGATTGAGAAAGAGAAAAACTTCTGTCTGCCGTTTCTGGATGTTCTTGTCAGTAGAAGCACTGGATCCATTAGCACTGGTGTATATAGAAAACCCACACATATACGGGACAATATTTAGTTGTTATAGAGCAATCATTATATGCAGTGACCAAGAATTTCTGAATTCTAAACTAAGTAATATTAAAACCGATTTGCTTCAGAATGGTTACTCTGCAAAATTCCTAGGCAATATTATATCCTATTGCAAGTCTGACTTATTGGTGCACCAGCCTGAGGTGGACGCCTGACGACTCCATATGTGAAACGAACATCGGAGAAGATCAGGCGAATAGGCAAGCAGTACAAAATTAAAACTGTTTAAGTCTGGGACTACTCTAAGAAGTGTCCTAACAAAAACAAAACCGGAATCATCAAACCAAGAAAAAGAGAGCGTCTACCAGGTACCTTGCGAGTGCGTTGAGACGTATATTGGAGACAAAAAATCCTCTACATGTACGACATGACGAAAATAAAAAAACATACGCAAGGAGGTGAAAGATCATGCATGGTCCAAGCACCACAACATAAAATGGTCGGAAGCCCGGGTTGTCCACAAAGGACTCAACTATTATTTCTAACAATAATAAAATCTTCAGCCACTCATAAAACGCTTAAATGCAGGTATTTCTAGTGAACCTTGTAACTGACTGCACCCAACTAATTTACGGGTGAATGCGGCTAGTATATAAGCTCAGTAGTTCTAGGATTTAGATTAGTTCCCACTCGATAACGGTAGTAATACTTTTGACCGAAACGTTGTGTAAGCAAAAATAAATAAAGACAATGGAAGTCCGAAATTATTTTAGTTTTAATACTGAATCATTGTCTACCACATTCAAAGTTACTTGGTGGTTCTAAATTATGAAAATGTGAATTAAAATTATATAAACTGTCATTGTATTTTCTCATTAGAGAGAGTATACAGGTTGTTAACTCGACAGTTACTTATAGGGGAACAGAATGGCAACACTGCCTATTGAGAATGCATGCATTATTGATTTTTCTGCCGACTCGTCCCATCGCGTCGTCTATCAACGAGCGGGCCGAGGTTGCCATATTTTAACCATAAAGCTCTTGCCGCGAGTAATGAACAAATTATCAACCTGTATATAGAATATACAGTGTGTAAATTTTAAAACTTCCCACCCTTAATATTTTTCTTGCAGTTAAAAATATGAAAAATCGGAAAGACACGTCAATTTTATTTGTAAGGGGGACACTTTAAATTAATATTTTTAACCTTTCTCTTTTAACCCCCTAGGAGGTGTAGATGTCACCCTTACAATTTTAAATGGGAATGGGGGTCAAGTGGCACATCGCTTTAAAGGACGTCTATTTCTCTTTTCACTGGTATCCTACTTTGTTGCTTTTTGTTCAGAGGTTTCCGAATAATCGCGTTTCAAAGTTGCAGAAACAATTAAACATGCCTGCATTGAGATTATGGTTTTCAGGCTAGTGTTTATAAAAAAAATATTGCAATGGATCTCCTTGTAGTACAAATAATGTGAAGATTAGGTGGAAACATGGACGTAGCAATTACATTTTTTTAGGGGGGTCGAAATACTAATAAACAGAAAACATCATAAACATTAACGTTTCTTTTCTTAAATTTGAATGAGTGGCAACCTCTAATCAGTTATACAGGAGGATTTATTAACATTTCAGCAGGACGGTGGCTCCACCTCAATATTTTCTTCCGATCCGACAGGTTAAACGAGAGATTTCCGGGTACATAGATTGGCAGAAGGGGACCAATTGAATGGCTTACAAGATCACCGGATTTAACACCCTTAGATTTCTTTCTTTGTGGACATCTTAAATCCATTGTTTATAGAACACAGCCTACTAATATTGATGACCTTAAAAGGCGAATTACAGCAGAATGCCGGTCAATTCCTGGTGAAGTTGGTGAAGTTTTCCGAAATGTTAGGGAGGAGTTTGAAAACACACTTTATTATTGTTAACAGGAAAATGGACAACATTCTGAACAACTTATAAGATAGGGTGTAAGTGGTGTAATGTGATCTTCTAATCTTTTTTGCAGTATAAGGAGATCCATTGCAATAATTTTTGTGTAAACACTAGACTGAAAACCAAAATCTCAATGCAGGCATGTTTAATTGTTTCTGCAGCTTTGAAACGTGAATATTCGGAAACCACTCGACAAAAAGCAACAAAGTAGGATACCACTGAAAAGATAATTAAACGCCCTTTAAAACGATGTGCCGCTTAACCCCCATTCCCATTTAAGATTGTAAGGGTGACATCTCCCCTTCCTAGGGGGTTAAAAGAAAAAGGCTAACAATATTAATTTAAAGTGTTCCCCTTACAAATAAAATTGATGTTTCTTTCCGATTTTTCAAATTTGTAACTACAAGAAAGATATTAAGGGTGGGAAGTTTTAAAATTGACACACTGTATGTAAATAAGTAACGACTTCCCGTTAAACCAGAAGTCCTAGAAAGTGAAAAATATTACAAAAAGTAAGTACATCTCCTAAGTGTCCTGGACCTAAAACGTTCATGTTATATTTAATTTAGATCTTAAGCAATATTTAATAAACACGTGTAAAGAAACCGGTACGTTAGTAATATCTTTAAACTCTGGAAATTGAAGTACAATTGTCAACATTGAATCAGCAGTGACCAATTTGGCGAACTAAAGAAGCTTTCGATGTAACGACTCTTACAATGCATTGTCAAATCGTGTAGCATCCAACAATGCTCCGCATTTTCAACTTGTTCAGATAAACGATTCGCTCTGCACACACCTTTTGTATAGCTGTATTGGAATTTGAAAGCAGAACAAAAATAAGAAAATTATCAAGTAACAGGCAATTAAGAGAGTATATGAGAATATTAAAATCAATCAGAATCGCAAGAGTATGCGAAGCAATGAGATGGTAACAGGAAATATGGGGAATATTTTTTCATTTTTCTTTTTTGTTTATCCATTTCCTTACTAAGTTGGATCCCAGAATCACTCTTCCAATAAATGTCACTCACTTGCATACAATTTTTTTAATACTGAGAAAATAAAGTCCTTTAGAAACTTAATAATTCTGTTGCTCATGTTCTCTTGAATGAATTGAAGTTTTATTCTTCAAAATTAGGGTAATTTTGTAACACTATCGTTTATCAATAAGCATAGACCATAACTTAGAAATAGAGAGTTTTTTCACCCAATAATTAGGCATATTAAAAGTTTTTTTAACTGATTCATCTTGTCAATTATTTAGTTTTACAAAAAAAACTGTATTTAAAACATTTCCAATACCTTTCTTGCATAGTATGGTAATATGTACTACTCTAAAGTTTTATTTTGAGAAGTAAAAATCATTAATATCAAATATACATGGGTTACGTATGATGTAGGTATTACATAAATAGAAAATATTACTTCTTCTGTGGTAACGACTTACACCAATTGATGGCAAACTAATTCATAAAACTTCCATTTCCAGCACATACAAAGCAAGAAAGAATTTGCAAGTAAAGCTTCAACAACTAGATGTTATAGGTATATAACTTTCTGTAAAGCTTTGTTCTAAGGTATATTTTATATTTTTTGTGTATTTAAGTAGGGTCAATATTCAGCTTATAACACGTACTCCCATATGTGTTCTAAAATGAAAAACAGTTATTTCTATGGCTTCATATAAGGCTTTCTATAAGAGGTTTGCTTATATCTTCAAACAAGTAATTACGTTCAATCATTAACTAAATCACGAACTCAGAAGAAAAAGTTCTCTTTTAATTAGCCACTCTAAAAATATTTCTAAGATATCTTACTTAAAATACGGCACATATAAAAAGAACCAATTCTATATGAATAAAATATATGTTCCAAGGATTCTCCAGTCAAATTAAATATACATTTTCATATAAAACACGTATTTGGCAGTATGTCAAGATGTTTTTCTTCATAAAACAACATCATTTCATTTCCATTTCAGACAAAAAGAAAATATGAAATTCAAAGGACTTACGTAATTACATTGAATCAACATTTAATTCTAAAAAATACGTGTTTCTCATATACCTACTGAGTAAATGAAAAAAAAAGTAATTTCTTTTTCAACGAAACTTCTCTCATTTTATGTTGTTCATCCAAACTTGAAATATACATAATTTAATATTTAATTTCTGATCAAATTCAAGCCAAAATATGTTTATTGTTAATAAATCTAAATATTTTAATAACGTTATTTTATATAATTTATAAATTTACATTTCAAACAACTACATATAAAACATACCATATTTGATATAATTTTTTTAATTGTTTTATTAAAATTGACTCAAAAAGCAGATATTTTGCAACTGAAACAGCAAAATTAAAAAATTATTTTTGTTGACAGATACAATCAAAATATAAAGGGTTAATAAATAGATATGCATTTTTTTTTTCTTTATTACTTTTGGGACAAATCACATTGGTGTGACATAATAGAT